AAGCAGCATCTGTGCAGAAGAAGGCGGGGGCTCAGCTAGCGGTGAAGTACAAGAACTGAGTGTCCAGCTCGAGATGAGCCATCTGAGCTAGTGAAGCCGGGAGATTCCGGGATGTCCCAGTGCTGGACTTTATCCCGGAGGCCAGGTCACCGTCATCTGAAAACTTTTCACGAGTAATGGTGGCGGCTGTTGAAAGGAGGGAAGGTTTACCCAGACCTAGGAGTCGGATGTCTGGGTCAAGGACAGTATGTCTTCCTGTGACTGTTGGCATGTGGCTGTGCTGCTGGCAGCTATGCCTTGGGCACGTGAAATACCAGCAGGGTCATTTCACTTTGGACTGGTTTCAGTGAAGCTTACAAAGCAATGCAGAGGGGGGTAAAAAGGCCTGGCATCCTGCTGCAGAACATTAGCCAATGAATCCGATTTACAATAGAACAGTACCCAGTGTGGTGTTAGCACGTGAGACCCCGGTTGGAAGGTACTCAGAATATGACTCGGGAGCCTCAACAGTGGGTTTACACGTGTCAGGGCATGGAGAAGATGGATGCAGGACCGGAATAGGTCGGTCTACGGTCACAGTGAGTTGGGGCCAACTCAGTGTCAGCTAACGACAAGGAACCTGTGTGTGATCAGAGGTCAAGGAGGAATCAAGGGGGATAAGGAGCCCTTTGAGTGGGCCCTGTGTTTGGCATGGAGGCTGCTGACAGCATGGAAAAGAACCGATTTTGAGAAACCCAGAATTTTCAACGGAAGAGAACAGGGCAGAGGTTGCCTCAAATGCGGAAGTTGTGGCTAGCATTATATCAGTTCCTGGCTCAGAAGGGGAGGGTGTGACCGTCAAGTGGTTGGCTAAGGAAGTAAAGGAAGATGCGTTTTTAAGTATGACATGGGACAAGAAGCTTGGATTTTGCTACCAATCAAATGTGGGTTTGAATCCTGGCTTCACATTTTGTGCTAAGTGGCCTTGGGCAAGACGATTCACTCTCTGAGCTGCTGTTTTCACCCATGCAAGCTGAAAGAATACCTAACGATTGTTTGAGGATAGGTTTAGAAACAAGGAAGGAATTTGTCCAGTCTGGCAAAGGCGGGAATGGTGCTTGCATTCTGTTGTTGCTAGTTGTGGTAGTCGAGTGGACTTTGACTCATAGCACAAGTACATATGTCTCACACTACAAAGTGCTGCCCAGGGACAGAGTGGTTGTGGTTGTTGCTAGGTGACCCTAGTCAGTGTGACTCCTAGTGACCCTGTGCACAACAGAACAAAAACCCCACCCGCTCCTGCACCAGCCTCACTGTTGCTCCTATGCCTGAACCCATTGTTGAAGCTACAGTCAACTGTCAGAACAGTAATAATAAGTCTGGCTCATGGCCACCTCTGTGGGGTTTCCAAAGCTGCAAATCCTTATTGGAACAGATAGCCTCATCTTTCTCCATCAGAGTGGCTGCTGGGTTTGAACTGTCCACTTTGTGATTAGCAGTCCAGTGCTCACCTGACCAGGCCGCCTGTGAAGTTCCATAGTTTTAGAACACATTAGTCTTGCTGACAGAGTTAGCTACCAGAAATTCACAGCCAAGGGCAAAGGGAAATTACGAGGGGGTACCAAAAAAGGCTAGAATATTTTTTTCAAAGCTATGTATTTACCTTTTTTTTTTTACAAAACAACCTTATCACCTTCAAAGGACCTTCCTTCCCTTACACTTAATACATTTGTCAAATCTGCGTTTCTATTCTTGGAGACATTTCTCTCTCTTGTTTGTTTGGTTTTTTTTAGCCAGTCAAATTCAGCATTGGGGGTTTGTATACCAACTATAGTGATACTAATGTTAATACGTTCTGATAACCCACTACCATCGGACCAGCCTTGGAAATATTTTTCAAACTCATCTGTTTCAATGGCTGACAGCACCTCCCTCATTTTTTTTCTTCGCCTCTTCTACATCTTCAAATCGCTGTCCTTTCATGTCCCTCTTCATTCAAAGAAAAAAAAAGAAGTCACACGGAGTGAGGTCAGCAGAGTAAGGTGTGTAAGGCAAGAGAGGCATGCTGTTTTTTGCCAAAAACTGGCGTACTGAGATGGCTGTGTGAGCAGGTGCGTTGTCGTGGTGGCAAAACCAGTTCCGTCTGCCACAAAGCAGGCCATTTTTGTCACACACTGTTATGCTATCTTTTCAGAATCTCTAAATAGAAAGGTTGATTAACAGTCTAGCCTGGTTGAACAAAATCCAAATACCCTATATGTCAGCATTTTTGCCCATTTGGGAAGTTGATGGACATTCAGAACGAGGTTTGTCATCAACATTTCACTTTTTTTAAAAGGAGAAAACCACTCGTACACTGGAGTTTTCCCCATAGCACTGTCCTTGTAAGCTGTGTTCAGCATCACAGCAGTTTCTGCAGCGTTTTTCCCTGAGCAGGAAACAAAATTTTACAGCCACAGGCTGTTCTCTAAATTGGCCATCACAAAAAAATGAGGTTCGAGCAAAACTGATTTTACAAAAATATTCACTGTGACCAAAGAGAACCTTCCCAGGTGACACCACTGGGTGCACTAACCTAGAGCAAGTTGCTCGATGCTCCCCTAGCAGGAAAAAATTGTACTACTAAAGCTCTGCTCCACCCAGCACAATGCCAATTCTTTTGGGTACCCCCTCGTATCTGCAGTACATTACATTGGCCATCACAGTGCATTACAAGTAAGAGAGCCCGAAGAGAAAGGCGCCGCATTGATTGCAGCAATCCAAAGGAGACATGTAAGGATGGACCAGTATTGCCCTGGCAATGGGACCGATGAGCTCATTTCCAAAGAAGTCTAGAAAATTGGCAGTGCGAGTACTTGTACGGATTTAAGTGTGAAGCATGAGGAGAGTCACCGGGGTCAGCTGTGTGGATGGTGGTTTTGTTCTCGGAGGAAAGGGAAGACTTTGGGGCTTGCATGGACCATCCCAAAGGAAAATGAGTCCAACCAAAAAGTATCCATTTTATCAAATTATATTAAAGGAACAGCTTTAAACTAAAAGTCTAAGGAAAAATAATCTCAACCCAAAGACAATACTTTGAATTGAACATTATTCGATATGTATATATTAGCTTTGTCCATGTACTTAATACACCACAATGCATGACACACTTAATGTTTCTCATGTCACTGTAAGCCATTGAAAACTTGGACAGACTTTAAATTTGAGAATGCACAAAAAGAAACAAATTTTGGCAAGAGGAAATTAAGATGTTCTGAGAGTATTAATGGTAACAGCCAATGTTTGTTGAGCACTATTATGTAGCAGGTACCCTGATGACATCATGGTTACACATTGGACTGCTATCCAAAAGGTCAGCAGTTCGAAACCACCAGCCACTCTTTGGGCAAAAGACATGGCTTTCAACTCCCATAAAGAGTTACAGTCTTGGAAACTCATGGGGCAGTTCTACCATGTCTCATAGGGTGGCAACTATGAGTGGCATCAACTCGATGGCAGTGAGTTGGGTTTTCACTGGTTATGTAGCAGGTACTGTTCTCAGTGTTTTGCATGCATTGGTGCATCAGTATTACGCATCCAGGAGCTCTGATGGTGTAGTGAATTAAGTGTTGGGCTCCTAACCACACGGTCAGCAGTTCAAAACCACCAGCCACTCTTAGGGATGCTATACTCCCTTAAAGAGTTACAACCTCAGAAACCCACAAGAGATACTTACCTGGCAGGGGAGATACCATGATCAGGGGCTAGGCTTCTCCATTGCACTCTAAATGTGCTGACCCCTGCGATTTCTCCAATGTGGGAAACTTGACTGCATAATATGTAGTAGTGGGGAACTGCATTCACGCTCTCCCCTGGCCAGGGTGGGGGGCCAGGGGGAACCCCACAGGAGCAGTTCTACCCTGCCTTACAGGGTTGCTGTGAGTCAGAATCGCCTTGATGGCAGTGTGATTAAGCAGCTAATCTTAACTAAGTAAGGGTTTTGGTTGATATGGAAACAAATTATTAGAGGAGCACAATATGAAAGGGTAATGAATTCTCACAATAATAGAGAAAGCCATCATGGAAGAAGTAAATTTTGAGCTAAAAACTTTAAAATTGAATCCAATTTCCAATGTGTATGTTTGCTTCTATTTGTTTCCCTGGGTGTGTTCTCGTTTCACCTGGCAACCAGACCACTTCTTCCACATAGAGAAGCCACGTGACAGGCCCTACCCATTAACTCCATGGTTAAGATTAGGAGGTGAAAGAGGTTGCAGTGTTACCGTATATTAATCCTCTAGGACAGTGGTTCTCAACCTTCCTAATGACACGACCCTTTAATACAGTTCCTCATGTTGTGGTGATCCCCAACCATAAAGTTATTTTCGTTGCTACTTCATAACTCATTTTGCTACTGTGATGAATTGGGCAACCCCTGTGAAAGGGTCGTTTGACCCCCAGAGGGGTTGCAACCCACAGGTTGAGAACCACTGCTCTAGAGAAACAGGGCAGGAATTCAAAGTGTTGAGTGAAAAAAATTGTGTGTGTTAACCTATGTTGAAAAAGAGGGTAACATTTAGAACACTTTTTTTTAAAAACAGGAAATGAGCTTTTTCAAATCCACTCATTAGTCATGGCTGTGGTGACTTCGATAGTTCTTGGTTCACAGTGATGGAATCTGTCCTTGGTGATAGTAAGGCATATTTGAAATCTGGTATTTAGGAAGACCACAAATTAAAACATGTCAAGGCACTGCTTTAACTTTAAGAAGTCCTAGCAACTTCATGCAACTCAGACTTGGGTCAGGTGGCAGCTGTACTTATAAACCAGGCTGATGGTCCTTAAGTGCAGGACGAGAATATTTCTTCATATTACTGATATTGCTTCACACAGATGAAGGAATGTGTCTGTTTGATGCTTTCCATTGGTTTTAATGAAATTTCTTAGTGGATTAAGTTGCCTGAACATATTGTGTTTTAATGTACTGCTTTTTGCTGTGTTCGCTAAGATCCAATGAAATGTTGTTTGTTTTTATTTACCAGGAAAGGCCGTTGTGTACCTTGTGGCTTTCCATATGTTCTTTGTTATGTTTGTATGGTCCTATTGGATGACAATTTTCACGTCTCCCGCTTCCCCCTCCAAAGAGGTAAATCGAATGTTGGTAAATTGCCAAATGTTGTAACTGACTATGGAACTGTTTTTTCCCCCAGTGTCCCCTTTGTTACGACTTGCCATCATATCATGCCTTTGTTTCCATTCATGAAATGCCTCCTCCCCATTAGTGGGTTTCAGCTCCAGCCCTGCAGATGCCGTTTAATCGATCACCGTGCCCAACACTGAACTCCCTGGGTGCTGTTCTCCCAGGCTGTGATTTCTTAACATAAGGTGACCAGACATCCCACTTTTGGCAGGACAGTCCCGATTTTTAACAATTTTTTCCTGCATCTCACGGCATTTTTACAAGTCCCGATTTTTGGAAAGAATGCATGACAAACTAGGGTATACGGTTTTCGGCTGCCATGTGGCTATTTCTCCAGGATATGAGTTTTATCAATGGTGTCCCGCTTTACCAATGTTAAAATCTGGTCACCTTATCTTAACGACATCTTTATAGCACTGCAGCAAAGAGCCCGACAGAACAGAACGGAATGACAGGAGTAGACTGTTTCCACGTGTTTCCTCAGACCCCATACAGATAGGTGCAGCTGAGGAAGGGTGCTTGACTTGTGGGAAACACAGGTCTTTAGCCTTGTGTTTCTTCCCATTGGAGAAGAGTGTGGGCAAAATTTTAAGACCAATAATTCTCTTATCTTGACATAGCAGACCTCACCTAAAATCTGGTGTGACGCAAAGGTTAAGAACATAGTCTCAAGACATAGGATTGTCCCTTGAGTGTTGCATTTTTCTCTAATGTAGTACTTCTCTCTCCAAACCCCAGTGTTCTCAGAAACTGTGAGGAAAACATGAGCTTTGCCCACCTTAAACTTTGACCCTAAAGTGTTCGGCTGCTCACCATACGTTTGGTGGCTCCAGTCCTCCCGCCACTTCACAGAAGACACGGCCATCTGCTTCCATTACGTTTTTCCCCCCTAGCTTTTTATTGTGAATCAAATGAAAGTTTCAGAGCAAATCTGTTTTCCATCCATGCACAATTTGTTCCATGTCCTTGATTGCAATCCCCACACTGCGGTATCACGTATCCCTCTTCCTCCCTGTTTCTCATTGCCATTTCTCCTCCTTTCCTAACCATTTGAATCTTCTCCTTAGGTAAATGCTGGTCTCTCTACCCCTCCCCCCCCCAAACCTCAAATGGTTGATGATTCTAAGGTGTATGAACCTCCCAAGTGTTATTGTTCCCCTTATAGGCCTGTCGGTTGGCTGAAAATTCAGCCATGGGGTGAGGGGGAATTGTGTTTCAGGTCTGAAGAGTGGCTGAGGGCCATGGTCTCTGGGGAGGATTACCAGCATTGGAAACCAGCTCTACCCTGCCCTACTGGACAGAGAGAGTCAATCACCACAAATTGGAACCAACTTGACCTCAGTGGGTATGGGGGCATATGAGATGATGATTGATGCTGCTGAGATACTTATTTATCTTCGTAGTAAACGCATTCAAAGGGATAGACCAGATTATTTGAAAATATGAATATTTAAATTTGTAATGAAAATACACTGACGTGACTTTCACACAGTGAACACACCCTGTGTAAGCAGCACCCAGTTCAAGAAATAGGACAGGACTTGGACCCAGTAAGCCCCTTAATTACACACCGCTCCATCTCCCATAGCACACTCTGCTTTTCTGCCAGGTCCTATAAATCCTTGCAGTGGTCACACATAACTCACAGACAATGCTCATGATTAGGGGGTTTATTATAGAAGTTAACAGGATACACTTCAGTTGAGAAATGCTCAGGATACAGTTGTTCAGTCAAGACATGCCACAGACACAGTAGCTTTTAGGGCTGCTAATAAATGCCCAAAGGACATGCCAATCCACTGTAGCCTCAACCTGAAGGCACCCAGCTCCCCAAATTAAGTGCCCAGGGGCACCCCTCTCCACAAGCCAGCCTCCTGCCCCAACGCTCTCCCCCCAATTCTGTGGGCTGGAAAACCCACCGCTCTGCCACTCCTCATGTCACAGCTGTCTTCCTGGACCAAGGAGGTTCACTGCGCAGGAACTTCAGGGTCCAGAGGACTCGCTCTAATCTGGCTCTTGCTGGTAGTGAGTTTCCAGCCTCCTTCTGCGAGGAGGCTCATTTTAGACCCAGCAGGATGGTGGACCATCACAGCTGCATCATGGCACAATCATACCCTTCGAGGGCAGCAAGCGTTGTTTAGTAGGAGGAACAAAGTCCAGAGGCTGGAAGAACCGTATTAAATAATTGAACGCATCGCACGTGCCATAAGAAACCACTGTCCTGCTTTCCAGGAGCATAGATGCCTCCTGATCTTTTCACACTACATAGATGGGTCACACATCCACAGGCCTGTGTCCCTGGCTTCTCCATTAGTGCTCTATTGGTGAGAGCAGGTGGCCTGATTGCTTAATTATTTGGGCACCTGTTGCTGGGCTGCTGCAAACATTTTCGGGCGTATCTTTGGGGGAACATATGTGTGTACTTCTTTTAGGCAAATGCCCCAAAGTGAGGTGACTGGATCTCATATTACCTGCATGGTCAGCATTAGGAGTTGATCCCAACAGCCTTGGCATGTTCTCTATTGGGGGCTTATGTTTTCAGGGGTAAATAAACTAAACCGTAAGACAAGATAATGCTGCTTCACATCATCTGTAGACACATGGTAATTGGCCTTAAAGTGATGGTACAAACTGCACACCATGTCTTAATCTCTACATTGACACAGACCAGACACAACTTCAGACCGTGGAATTTTTATTCTCCGCTGTAAACCTGGCATAGACTGGTTCCTGCCCAGAGTGAGTTAGAAGCTCTTAGAAACAGAGTAGGCCACCTTTCAAAGCAAGGGCATCTTTCTGACTCTGGCAGTATTCTGGCAGCACGTGGGTGTGTCAGAAATGCTGTGCTCAATTAGCTTAGGGAAGGGACTTGGGCAATCACTCCCCAGGCTCAGAGGATGTCAGACTTTCCCAGCCACTTTCCGGCCATTCCTTTGGCCATGGTGCTCCTCGGCCCTTCTGAGTCGTTGGGGATTTCTTATGTTGTCAGGATCTGCTTGTGGGAACCAAAGCTATAAGCTAGGTAATCCAGATAGATCTTTTTCTCTCTTGTTAAGTGTGGCGTTTTGGGCAGGTGAGAGTCGTTGCCTGTACAAGAGCATTTGTTCATCTAGGTTAGCAGTGTAGAGGCCACATACTGGGTTAGCACTAGAATTCAGAAGACGATCTGTGTTTTAATACCATTCCCACCAATAATTACACAATCTAAAGAAATTCAGTAAACTGCTTGGGACCAGCCCAGGGCTCTTTCTTCTATGCCAGAGGGTTCAGGGGGAGCGGGGAAGGAGGTGGGGGAAATGAGCTGACACCAGGGGCTCAAGTGGAAAGTGGGTGTCGTAAGAATGTTGAAGTCAACATATGTACTAAAGTGCTGGACACAGATGACGTATGTACAGATTGTGATGAGTTGTATGAGTCCCTAATAAAATGATTATTTTAAAAAATGAAAAGTTAAAACTCTCTTGACAGTAATCTCCCAGCACCAAAACTTTTACTGATAGCAAGTCATGGTGAAATTGAGTCTTATTACTATGAAGGTAAAACAAAGAGTCAAAGCTTTCTGGCCCATAATGTTTGCCATTGCAAGTGGGATGCAAAGCAAATATTTTTCTCCTGTGAAAGGCATGACATTTTATTAAAATGTGTGTAATTTCACTTGAAGTTAATTTGAAACACATTTGCCTTCATATAACGAAATATCTTGGGTAGTTTGGTTTTGTTTGGGATAAAACTTTCTCTATGCATGTTAGCAATCTCATGGGCTTAAAAAAAGTACTATTTCTCTTTTTATAGTTCTACCTATCCAATTCTGAAAAAGAACGTTATGAAAAGGAATTCAGCCAAGAAAGACAACAGGAAATTTTGAGGAGAGCAGCCCGGGACTTGCCAATCTATACCACCTCGGCTTCAAGAAGTAAGAACAACACTTCTTAAGCTTTACTTTCAAATAGTTTTATAAAATACTAGAGGGGTTCAAAACGTTCATGGGAAAATGGGATTAAAATGGGATTTTTATGTGAAGTTGTTGAGGATTCTTTGGCTTTTCATTTCTGCCGTGATATTGACTCTGAAGTGGATCTGATGGTCGTTACAAGTAAGATCTCTGTGAACAGAATCCCTGTGTGTATTCTGGGATTTCAGATACAGGTGCATAAAATACAAGGGTAGGTTAGAACATGGGATGAAACCATAGGAAACTTTGGGAAACAAAAATATCACATTGGTCAAGTTATTTATTTCTCGATATACTCTCTGCCTAGGTCTGTTCCAGATATGGCGGGAGATGTGTGTGTGTGTGTGTGTGTGTGTGTGTGTGTGTATAAAATAATTTTATTGGTCATACAGCTCTTACCACAATCCATCCATCCATCCGTTGTGTCAAGCACATTTGTACATTTGTTGCCTTCATCATTTTAAAAACATTTTCTTTCTACTTGACCTCTTGGTATCAGCTCCTCATTTTCTTCCCTCCCCTCTCTGCCTCCCTCAAGAGCCCTTGATAATTTATAAATTATATTATTTGGGGAGATGTTCTTAAGGGTCTCACAGCAGCCAGAGAGTCTCTTTATCTGCATACTCTTTATTTTTAAAAGACTCATCCTTTATTGCTAAAACTTTTGAGTAGTATTCTTCATAAACCATCATTTGGAAAACCTGGTTTGAATGTGGATATTTTAAGTCATCAGAGTGATAAAAAAATTGTACTTACCCCCCCCCCCCCCCCCGGAATTCACGTCAGAGGACAGCACCAAAGCTGCAGCTCCGGGAGAGGGACAGGTCTGATCAGAGCACACGGGAGCCAACGAAGGGGGAGGGGGAGAGAGTGGGACACATCCGGGCCCACCAAGCCCTGAGGACGATATTCCCACTCAGCATGGAGTGCACAGAGAGGACCATGGGGCCAGCCTCACCACAAGACGTGACATCCCTCACTGACTCATAGCACTACAGGGGACGACACTGGAGACACAGTGCGGGAATTGTGCCCTAACTGATCCCATTACACTGAGGCAAAACACTAAGAGCGTGCAACAGAACAGCAAGGGGAGCAGAGTAAGGAAGCCCCTAGGGAATACCATGAATAGACTGTGGGGCCTGGGTGTGGCACCCATCACACAGGACTGGAAAATACGCCTAAAGGTCAACAAACAGACCTTGAACTATTTACAGGCTTTTCTTTTTTTGTTGTTGTTGGTTTTTGTTGTTTTGTTTTCTTTTGTTGCTTTGTTTTTCTATCTTGTTTTTGTGCATATTGTTGTCTCTGCATGTCTATCTAGATAAGATGGGCAGGATCAACAATCGGGAGGGGAGAACAATGGAACCAAAGGTTGGGGGGGGAGGATGTGCACAGGGGAAGGGGAGGCGGGGGAAAGGAAGTGGGTGTTGACAAGCCCAGGGACAGGGGAACAGCAAGTGATATAGAGTCCATGGGGAGAAGTTTGTGGAGGGCTTGGTGGGTCGTGATCAGGGGCAATGTGGTCGAGAGGAATTGCTGAGACCCAAATGAAAACTGTATGATAGTGGGACAAGAAGAAAATAAAAGGAAATAGAGGAAAGAACTAGGAAGCAAAGTTTATTTATAGAGGTCTAAATGCAGGCATGTACATAGGTAAATATATTTGTATATGATGATGGGAAAATGGATCTATGTACATGTATTTATGGGCTTAGTGCTAAGGTAGCAGATGGACACTGGGCTTCTACTCAAGTACTCCCTCAACGCAAAAACATTTTGTTCTATTAACCAATCGCTGAAGGCAGAGAGTGTGCATAAGCAAATATGGTGAAGAAAGCTGATGGTGACCGGCCATCAAAAGCTGTAGCATCTGGGATCTTAAAGGCTTGAGGATGGACAAGCGGCCATCTAGCTGAGAAGCAACAAAGCCCATGTGGAAGAAGCACACCAGCCTGTGTGATCACGAGGTGTTGATAGGATCAGGTATCAGGCATCAAAAACCCAGAACAAAAAATAATCATTGTGAATGAGGGGAAGTGCAGAGTGGAGCTCCAGAGTCCATCTGTAGGTAAATGGACATCCCCTTACAGAAGGGTCGTGGGGAGGAGACGAGC